TCGTCAAATGAGCTATTATTTGCTTCAAAAGTTTTATTAAATAAAGAAGGAAAAATAGAAAAAGCTAAAGCAATCAACATAATATATTTAAATAAGAATGTATATTTTTCGATACATTCTGGAAATGAAGCATTGTCGTTGATGCTAAATTCAAATATGACCAAAGCTGCGTTTCAACTCCATAGAAATGCAGCAATTAAAAAAGAATGCAACCTGTATCCTGCATACAACAATATAAAATCATCGAAACTTTTGTGCTACCTTAATAACATGATTTTTACTGACTGTACTGCAAGTCTACCATTGCAAAGTTTATCTGACCATACAGCTCAAAGACTTTGTCAAGTTCAAAATGAGGTTTTATGTATGCTAGAAGCGTTTGACCTGGTATCTCTTTATTATAAAGCAGGTTTTGATGGGTCTACTGGTCAAAGCATATATAAACAAAAAATTTCTGTTGAAAGTTTTTGCGACTTGAAAAGAGAAGAACCATTGTTTCTAACTTGCCTGGTTCCACTTCAGATTACAACTTATGTTAGAGAAACCCTAACTGTCATTTTTTTTTTATTTTTTTTTTAATTCACCTCCTCAAGGCCGAGAAGGCCACTACAGACGAGGAGGCTACTTATTTGTGGCTATAACCCTCTCTCAACTCTATAACTCCGGTACTACCAGGGACGTGGCGAGGATCGAACTCCGAACCACTCGTTTATGAAGCGAGCGCTCTACTACTACACCACAAATCCAAAACTTTCTTCCACTTTATATTGCCGACCTTTAAGATTTAAATTTTAAAAAAAAACAACTGATTTATAACTTATTGAAAAAGCTACTTTGAAAGACGAGATCTAAAATCTTGTTGAAACTTTTGTTTAGTTATCAAATGGTAAGTCTATTTCAGTCAAACATATCATTCAAGTTACAATGATAGATGGCAAAGTCCATACTGCTCTATCAAATATAAAAAGCTCTAGTCAATGTTGCTGTATATGCGGGTGTTCACCAAAAGACATGAACAACATCGACAAAGTTACGAAACTTCCATACTCACCGGATGAGCTTCAATATGGATTATTTACACTTCATGCATGGATAAGATTTTTTGAGTGTCTCATTCATATTTCATATAAAATACCAATAAAAAAATGGCAAGCAAGGTGAGACAAAGAGAAATCTCTGGTTAAAGAACAAAAAATGAAGATGCAAAAAGAATTTCAACACAAAATGGGACTTATTGTTGACTACCCTAAATGTGGAGGATCTAGAAACTCAAATGACGGCAATACTGCTCGAAAAGCTTTTTCAAATGAAGACTTGTTTGCTGATATTACAGGAATAAACAAGGAATTTATTTTAAAGTTGCATACAATCCTAATTTGTATATCAAGTGGATTTCAAATAGATACTAGTAAGTTTCGCTTACTTTGTCTGGAGACCGCAAAACTCTACTCATGCTTGTACCATTGGTATTACATGCCTCAGAGTCTTCACAAGATCTTAATTCATGGAGCAGAAGTAATAGAAAATCTATTCTTACCAATAGGTCTATTTAGTGAAGAAGCTCAAGAAGCTAGAAATAAAGAATTTAGAAAATATAGGGAACATCATTCTCATAAAAATTCAAGAACAAAGACAAACGAAAATGTAATGAACAGACTTTTATGTACATCTGATCCAGTTATTTCATTTTATTGAAAAACTGTTTCATCTGTAAAAAATAAATTTCCTCCAGGTGTTGTTGAACTTTTTATTTGCGAAAATTCTACGTTCTAGAGTATAGATATATCTAGTTCGTAATGTTTAATTATAATTAAACCAAAAGATAAAATTTTTTAGCAAAATATATGAGGTTGATATTCATTTTATATGATTTGTATTTATAAAAGTTTATAAAAGTTTTAATAAAAAAAATTAAAAATAATTTTGGCACAAAAAACGCGATTTTATCCCACTGTGCAATGTCTGGAAAATTAAATTCTCTATTGTCTGTTAAACTACATTATATAGATTTTATAAATATTGTAACACAAATGATATTGACAGTGAGGAAAAAAGTTCATTATGAAGCTCAAAACATTAAAAAAAAAGGGAAACATTTGAGTTTATTTTTTTGTGCGTCCTTTGGTACATAATTTTAATAAAAATTAATTAAGCTTTAAAAGTTTTAAAATGAAAAAATGCAGATTTTGATAAAATCTTTTTTGAACCAGGTTTAAAATAACTCAGAAACTAGATGTAAATTTATTGAAATAACGTCTCAGAAACTAGATGTAAATTTATTGAAATAAAAGGCAGAAATGGCAAGAATTTGGAATGCTACAGTTTCAAATCACTTATATGAAAGGTTTAAAAGAAGGAAATTATTTTTAACTTCTGGATTTATAAAGAATCTAATTTAAAAGACAGTATTTTGAAAGAATGTAAATTAGATAAGAAGTGTTTTACTTTTTTAGGTGTGCATTTTCAAATATTCAAACTTAGTAAAAACCAAATATAATTGATATTTTAGATGTATTTTCTGGTTTAATATTGCTTTTCACACTACATTGATTCTATAGAAAGATCATTAAACAAGCTAAAATCAATATAAGACTAGAATCCATTTTTGTGGGTGATCCAAAATTGCAAGATAACTGTACTATATAAAACTTGTTTTTCAAAACAAAATTTTGTTTGTGCGTTTTTTATTTTCTTTAACGTTCCGCAACACGTTTGCATTTGAAAATATTATATTTAAAGACCAATTTTTACTTCATACCGTAAAAAACATTTTCACAAAAATTTTACGTGAAACTGCATTAATTTATTGAGCCCCTATACATGCTATATCACTTTATGTATAAGATGTAGGTATAACAACAGAATGTTTAAAAGTTTTATTGTTAAGAGACAGATTTATTGTGCCCCTACTCTTAATAGCCCCCCAGTTTAAAAAAGTTGTCTACTTTTTATTTATATATATATATATATATATATATTTCCCAAAACAAATATAAGTTTATTTTTTGAAACATAAACAGAGGTCATTTAATAATATGTTTCAATTTCATCTTGTCTGATAAAACAATCTGTGACACTAAAAGCAAGAAAAGATTTATATTTGCTGATTCCAATTTTAAACTCATACTTGATCTCAGTAATAAAAATGTAAAAGGAATGTTTGATGATTTTTTACACAGAGAAATTATGACCATACAAAGTTTAAACCCCCCTCAAATTACAAATTTTATACGGTTATAATTTTTGAACGCTGGGGGATAATACAATGAAACTTAAAATTTATCGATGAATATATGTCTGTTGAGAATAGTACAAAAAATATTTTATCAACTTGTTGTTCCTCACATTTGGGATGGGGTGGGGGTGAAGGAGATAAAGTTAAAAGGCTTTTTCGTTCCCAGCTTCCAATCATCGCAATTTTTTGTAAAGCATCATTATTTGACATAAATATAAATATACAAATGTTTGGAGTTTCTTCCATGTCTGGGAGTTTGTTATTTCAAATACTAAAAATCCTGGATCCGTCACTGATGGGCTTCTCATATGAAACAAGGTAAAAAAATGATTAAACACTTTATTTTACATAATGTGAAACAAGGTAAAGGTTAAAAAAATAAAACGATGAAACTGAAGTTATGATAATTCAGCGTATTATTTATTATTAATATCGAAAAAAAAACTTATATTTTTATTATTGGTGAAATGCTTATTAGATTTTAAGTTGCTTGAACATTACGAACAACATTTCAATGCCGAACAACATTTCAACAGAGGACATCGAAATTAAGCATGGAAATATTTTTTTGCCTTGAAAATAAGTAAACCAACTAAAGATTTAACCAACGGAAATTTAAAATTCAGTTTTAATTATTAAAACTATAATTATACAATTTTGAAATAAAGTTTTAAAAAAAGTTTTAAGTATATTGATAAAATTAAATTTTTCCACAGATTACCCCCAAGTAAATGCAATCCAAAGCCTACCGCCAGGTAAAGAAAACTACACTCACTAGATGTCGTAAAATCTTATTTACATAAAGAATGTTTACTATATAGTTGTTTATTGACACACAAAACATAATTAAATATTACAGTTAAATTTACAGTTAAAATCTAAAACAGTGTTAAATGTTGCAGTTATGGATACTTTTTTTCATATTTAATATTATTTTCATGCTTGCAAAATTTTATAAAGGATACCTGTTAAATATAATACTTTCCTAATAAATGTAAAAAAGTAGGAAACCAAAACTTGACGTAATAAAGAAAAAAACTAACAACAGTTCCAAATTATCAACCTAAAAATTAGTTATAAACCACTTTCAGTTCAGGTCAACAAAAATTTTAATTTTTATTGTAATCGAAGATTCTGAGTATGCTTGTTTTGTTTTGATTTTTGAATTTGTTTTCTTTTTTCACTTTAACAAAAAATATTTAATTAAATGATTTAAAAATTTTATTTTTTGAAAATATTGATGAAAATTATTTTATCTCTATTTGGGTAACAAAGTGCCCAGAATTTTCTGGCTCTGTTTTGTTAAAATAAATGTAATTCTATAGTTTTAAATTTAATTTAAATTCTTATTATTTTGTTATTTAAAGTTTAGAATGGTTGCTGTGTGGTTTAAAAATATAGTCAATAAAATCCATTTTCTTTACTAGACTCTTTGTAAAAAAAAAGTATGGTATTTATATTCATTTCACTGGGAACTAGTTTTTGTCTCATTGGAAGCGCTACGTAATTTTTAAATTATAAAAAATGGCTTTTATTTTTCCTTTAATCCGCCACGAGGCGTTTGAATTTAATGTCAATATCATTTTTGATAATCAAAGCTTTCTGTTGTCGAATAAGAATTGATTCAATTTCTTTGTTTTATAAGACACGCGGAACAATAGGAATATATAATAGATATATACTTTTTTATGTTTACAAAACAATAGACTTTAAAGATTTGCATGCGTAAAAAATAGAAGCAAATTCCCGTATAAAAGGTTGCAATATCATGGTCAGCAGTAGTTGAGAGTTGGCCAGCAGTATAGTTAGTTGTACAGCGGATATTAACTCTCGTTTACAGTTAGCCTCGTAGCCAACTACTTTTTTTGCGGAAATTAAATTAGACACATTTTATAATGAAGATGCCAGCCTGTCAACCTTTAGGAGAAAATGATAATTCAAATTGTTTATGTCCTTCACCTACCACTTCAGAAGAAAGTTTACCGCACAAATCACTACATGGAAAAGTGGACCGATCCAAACGTTTAAAGGCAAGCGCAAGAGAACGAAGACGGCGTCATGTTTTAAATGATGCTCTTGAAAATCTTCGGAGAAAAGTTCCCGTCATCAATGAAAAATCAAAACATAAGCTTTCAAAGATTGAGGTTTTAAGAATGGCAATTGATTATATTGCTATGCTAAGCTATTACTTGGAATGCTCCTCATTACCAGAATACGATCTTTCAACGGAAATCCGGCAACGAAATTATGGCGTAACCTTGAATAAATTCAGTGAAGAACACATAATTTCATTACAGAACTTGAGATCTTATCAGGTAGAGATTTAGTTAATGTTATTTAATATTGCATTATTTACAAAAGCTGTGATTTTAATGACTAATAAAAAAAATTGGTTCAAAAAATAATGGCAGAGTTTAACATGCAAAGTAATTGAAACTTTAATTTTTTTATTTAGCGCGCCCAAATTTAAAAAAAAAATATTTATATATATTTTTCTTTATTTTATTAATGGTCAATGTTCTTCTTGTTTTACTTAATTCTAAAGTTGGTGCCTAAGGAATTTTATGCGAACTAAATTAGGTTCTCCATTTCATGAGCAAAACTGTCTAGACAATATGACCATTGTCGCCAACTCTTACAATATTATTTAAACCTCGTTTTATTTACATTATCAACCTATCTATAAAGAAAATTCAAAACAAAAAATGAAAAAAGACTTAAACAGCTGCAAACTGAAAATTTTACTAAATATAATAGTAAAGATTAATAATATATTTCATAATGTTAGTTAATAAAAGAAATGTTATAGAATATTTTTGAAAGTTTGTTTAGTTTTTATATGTAATTTCATTAATAGTAGCTTTATTATATTATTCTTTAGTGGCCGAACACACAAGCAAACGTGCAAAATTTTCCAGCCCCTTTTGAGTATTTCAATGACGTCGAGTTTTGTTTGGAAAATGTTCTTTGCCAGTAACAACGCCTTTTTAATAACATAAAATGAAGAATTCACCGGTCTACCGTGGTAACAACAAGTCGCTTTTGAATAACCCGTTCAGATTTACAAAATCAGAAACAAAAGGTTTCCTAGAGTATAAACATAACGATGCAATGAATTTAAACACCATAGTAACAGCGGACTGCTTCAAAGAATCTATATGCCAGGTGCATTGGGAAGTGCAAAACGCTACTTGTAAATACAAATTTGTATATATTACCTATAACATATTTTTAATATAATTTTTTTAAATAAACAAATATTGTCATCTTCGCGCTAACAATATACTCGTGTCGTCGAGCAACTGTGAAATTGTTTAAAATTCTTGTTAGTTATTGAAAACAAAACATGCAAAAAATGAAACGAAAACGTTAAGTCTTTTTTAAAACTATAGTATAAATAAAAGATTGTATCTAAGCAATGACACAATTAAGAATTACTATTATTATTTAGGAAAAAAAAATAAGACTTCCTAGTGGAGGTGGCGGAGATACTGATAGCGGACGCAACGAATATAGTTTTTTTTTTTTTTTTGTATATAAAATTGTCTAATATTGCGTTTGTTTTTGAGGTATTTAACGACAACCTAATTTTTTCAAAATTATTATTTATCTCTCTATGATAAACTAAAATATATTTTTATCAGAAATAAATTTTAAAAATAAAAAACTTTGAAGGACAATTTTACAGTAAAACTTATCATTTATTTGTAAAAAATATAATTTCTAAAACATCATAAAGTTTTATATCAACACCGTTTAAACATAAAGTTTAAAACCCAATATCAATGTTCTGTCAATTGAAAAAGTTCAAAAACTATGCAGTTAAAAAGTTTCATCGTAAGTGAAAAAAGGTTCATGCTTTGAATCTAGATAAGCTAAAAATATTTATATTTTTAAGTTAAAATAAAAGCCTTTTAAAATATTTTTTTACTGCATTATTTTTACTGAAATGGTATTAGGGAAATAAAAAGAAGTTGGAAAAATTCAGTTCCTTTTTAAATCTATCTAGGTAAACCACTGGACTAATTGCTCTGCTATATTATCTTTTTCTATTTTTATTAAAACAAAGTGTAGAAATGAATAAATTTACTTAAAACTTCACATTAATGGTCTCTATGACACAGCTTTTTAGTTTTTTTTTTTTTTTTTTAACAATGCAAAAAAAAAAAAAATATTCTTTGGTAATCTTATCTTGGCAAGCAGATCAAGGAATTCATACTATGCATATCTTTATTGTAATAAAGTTTATTTACGTCTTAACTAAAAATGAAAACAATTTCACTAAAAACCGAGCCATTTATACCTAGATTTCAATGTATGAGTCACTTTTATAGTTTATTCTCAATTTGTTTTCAAAGGTATGGACAAATATGGGTGACAATTTAGCACTGTTCATTCATGTTTATTTACATATGCCTCTTCCGTATATATGTTGATCATTAGCTGATCATTAGCTAAGTATCATTGTATAGTGATAATTTTATTTTGTAACAATCGTAACATCTCGTAAATTTAATTTTTTTGTGCAAGACGTTACTCAATGTTGTCATAACAATTTCTTCTCAATAACAATAATTTGAGTTCATCTTCTCAATAGCAATAATTTGAAAAACAATTGAAGATACGCTAAAAACTTAATGGGCGTGACCGTCTCTTTTGAAAGAAATTTTAAAAAATAACATTTAAATGGAGAGAACATTGTGTGTTGTTTTTTGTCGTGTTTTTAAATATATTTTTTATTATTCTATTAAAAATTTTTTTTTAGTTTTTATAAATTAGTATTAAGAAATCCAAAGTCACCTGCAACTGCACGTGCCACCTGCCACATTTTCTTTATACACTACTTGAAAGATTTACTTATAAAACCTTAGTACTGAAAATTTGTTCCAATATACTTTTGCTTTAGTTTAACAATTATGGTATTACTTATTTGTATAACATGAAAATTGAGTAATAAATCAGTTCACAAAATTCCATGAAATAAGAAAAAAACTTACAAACAACTAGAAACTTATACCGAATAAAAAAACGAAAATATTTCTTAAATACTGTAAAATTTAGACAAAAATAATTTATTTACAAATAGTAATCGCTTATTGTATTTAAAAAAATGTAGTTAAATTAGTACCATTTACACTAATACCATTTATATATATATGAGAAATAGTATAAGACCAAGTATTGAACCTTGGGGGACGCCATAACTAATTATCTAATTAAATCATAAGTAACACATCGTTTGTGATTTTGAAGATACGACTGAAACCATTTTAAATTCGAATTCAAAATTCCGTAGTTTTGCTATTTATAAAAAAGAAATGATAAATTTAAAAAAACTCCCAGTCTATAGTTGTTGTCATCAAATCCATTCAAAATCCATTCAAAATACTGTTTGCCAAATCAGCTCTTGCATGATCAGTGATTTTTAAATTGTGTTAAAAGGTAACCTATCAAGTCCATTACTAAATCAACTTTTTTCTAATTACTCTGGAAACATTTGTTACTCGGAGAGATTTCACTAGCCAATTATATAAAAATATTTGGTTTCTTAGCTAACTTTTTTTTTTTCTCAAAAATTTCAACATTATACTCAGTTTAAAGTTTTAATATTATCTTTAAAAATAAAATTATTCCAATTATAAATAAACTCAAATAACAAAAAATACTGCCGCTTGAAATGTTTAAATTATAATTAATAAAAATTTCAAAAACACAAAGATTAAAACTGAAATATTTATAACAGATATATCTAAAAAATATTCGGGTTTTTATAACAACACAGAAATCGGTAAATCAACTTTATGGAAAAATTAAAATTTAAAAAACAAGTATTTTAATTACTTGTTTTTTTAAGGGGACGCTTCTCTTTTGACATTTATAAGCCTTTTATCGACGACAAACTCGGAATTTGTTTTGAAAACTAAAAATGTTAATAAAGCTTATGATAAATTTTATCATATATTTGAATGCCACTCCAACAAAGCATTCCCAATAACAACTAAATTTATCAAAACAAAAACTCTACAAAATCCCTGGATAATATCTAGAATCATAAAATCTTTCAAAAAAAGAACTTTTGAAAGTGAAACAAAATCTGTAATTGTCTTTTTGTCACGATTGTAAAGCGCTAAAAAAAGTTTTACTATAGTAGCCGATTGCTAAAATACAAAAATGACATACAAAAAACTTGGAACATAATAAAAAAGATTATAGGTAAAAAAAGGATATGAATATTAGTAGTTTAATTAAAAATGACTGTGAAATTATTAACAACGCAATAATTGTTAACTCGTTTAACCATACATTTGTTAGCACAGGTTCAGGTTTAGCATCAAAAATAAAAATAATTAAACTTCCTTCAAATCAGTCCAAAAAACTAATAATAATACAATTAATAATATGTTAACAGATACGGAATTTCTTGATGCCATGTACTTACTTTAACTAAATAAAAGTTGATGAATTAAGCAGTAATGTAGTAATTAAAGTGCCGTATTTAAAGATCCTGCTTTTGCATATATTTACGCTCTCTTTAAAACAAGGAATCTTTCCCAAAAAACTTAAAGTTCCTAGGGTAATACGAATCCTAAAATTAGGAGATGAGACTCGGGTCTCTAATTACAGACCTATCTCCATACTCTTATTCTTTTCAAAATTATTAGAACACATTTATTTATAAAAGATTTTTTTGATGCAAACAATATTCTCTAGAGTGAGCAATTTGGGTTTAAAAACTCTACTGACCAGGCTATTGTTCATCTTGTTCATGATATCTTTAAAAAGAGCCACTCTACTGACCAGGCTATTGTTCATCTTGTTCATGATATCTTTAAAAAGAGCCACTCTACTGACCAGGCTATTGTTCATCTTGTTCATGGTATCTTTAAATCATTTAATGAAAATGATTTAAATAAGTAAGCAATTTGGGTTTAAAAAGAGCCACTCTACTGACCAGGCTGTTGTTCATCTTGTTCATGATATCTTTAAATCGTTTGATGAAAATAAATATACATTATTTATTGATCTCAGTAAGGCTTTTGACACTGTTGATCATTACATCTTATTAACAAAGTTAGTAAACTATGGTGTTAAACATATAAAAATATTGCTTGGTCTAAAAGCCATTCGTCAAATAGAAAACAATACATTTCTTATAATGACCAATATGAACATAACATGTTGGGTTCCTCTGGGATCTATATTAGGACCAGTCCTATTTCTCATTTATAATAATAATTTAAGCAAAGCTTGTACTGAATTTAGATTTTATTACAATTTTATTTGCGGTGACACAAATCTATTTTATGCACATAATGATATAAATACAATGAGTTATTAAACCTTACTGAATGGTTTAATACAAACAAATTATCTCTAAATGTAACCTAAACAAAATATACTTTTTTCGAACGTTTTCATGACCGGTATAAAGTTTCTTTAAAACTTTTAAAACTTTGTATTACCAATCAGGACATAAAAGGAGTAACCATATAAAAATTTCTAAGCGTACTTCTAGATGAAAATGTGACGTGGAGAGATCACATACATTATATCAAAAATAAAATCTCAAATAGGGAGTTTAGGCAACTTTTTTATTGAATATAAATTTTTTTCATTTTAAATATATTGGATTCCTTAATATATTTCATTTAAAAAATTCAGCCACTTCTGTAGGTTATTTAGTTCCAATGATATACGTATTTTAATATTTTCTTTTTGTGACTTGTGACTTTTTGTAGACTTTTTGTGAAATATTTTCTTTAAGTATAACGTTTAATTTTTGGCACCGAAAAAAAAACCTTTTTATAAATTTTTTTTCTTGCGTAAAAAGTCGCAATAACAAAATTCTAATAAAATTTTATTAGAAATTAAATCGCAACAATTTTTGTAATATAAACAATTTATAAATATATATTTTTTAACAGTAGAATATGTTTTAAACTTTTTTAATATAAGTTAAATGTTTTAATTTAAGCGTAACAAAAAGTTCTCCTTAAAGTTTTGTTAAAATTTAGGGAGAAATATTAATTTAAATTAACTTATTTGAACTTTCTTTTTAAATTATCAAGTGAAAAACGTGGACCCAAATAAAAAAGGCCAAAAATGTCGAAATACGTACAAAATAAGGATAAATCTAAAATTTTTCTTTACACAAATAAAATGCTAGTCAACAATTTGTTAATAATTTCAGTATAGTGATAGATTCAAAAAGAAATTTAACCGCTTAGAGTCTGTTAGACTCTAAACTACCCTA